TCCTTCTCGTCATTTTGTGTAGCACTGTCTTCTGCCCTTTGTTGTAGATCTTTGCTGTAGTTATAACCTTCACACGTACTGAAGTTCAGGTGGAGCTGTACTGAGTTTGGCCTTATCCACCTGCATCTCGTTTGGATCTGGCTGCTGTGCTCAGCTCCTTCCCACTGCAGACCTGGGCTAGGACTGGGTCTAGGGGTTCCCGGAACTCGGCAGAAATTTCTACTGGGCGGTAAGTTTGGGAGAGGTATGGCGGAGTGGTGGGGGGTGGCCTGAGGGGGTGGGAGAGGGTCCAGCCCACGCTGTGTCTGGGCTGGGACTGGTCCCGCCGGCTCAGGGTAGCAGGAAGCTCTCCACACACTCATTGGACCTGGGCTAGGACTGGGTCTGGGGGTTCCCGGAAGTCGGAAGAAATTCCTACTGGGAGGGCGGGATGGGGGAGGTACTGCGGAGTGATAGGGGGCTGCCCGAGGGGGTGGGAGAGCGTCCGTCCCATGCTGCACCTGGGTTGGGACTGGTCCTGCCGGCTCAGGTTAGTAGGAAGCTCTCCACACACTCACTGGACCTGGGCTAGGACTCTTGGTTTGATTTTTAAACTATGTAAATATGTAAGGTAATAGATGACTATATTACTCATATGGTTATTTCCTACATTTTCTTGTTCTGGCCATTTTATCTTTTTGAAAATCAGAATCTGAACATTTTGGTGATATAAAATAATGTAGTCAAATGGAAATATTAATTCATATGAAAAACCAGACTTATCCTTATCATCTTACTACAAAGGACGAGATCATATTTCACTTTTATACTAATATATTATCTCAAACTGGAATGGTCAGAATAGCAGTACAAAATAAAGGTATTTTAGCAAACTTATATGTTATTACTCAAAGTCCCAGAATGGGCTGACTTCAGTCTTAAGAATAAGGGACAAATTTTATTTGTGTTTTGGGTTTTCATATAAAAAAAAAGTTGTGCTATTTAACTTGTGTGCCTGGTTTATTTCACTAAACATTGTGATCCCGAGGCCCACCCACTTCCTATGAATGATTCAGCTATTTCCTTCTTTAATTAAAGGAGTGCTCACTCTGTTGGGTTCAAGTATCACACTTTCTGTATCCATCCGTCTGTTCTTGGCTGCGTCCCAGACCTACCATTTCTCCACTGGGCCGCTAGAAGCCTGTAAATGCAGATTTGCATGCATCACTGTAAAGTGTTGTCCTTAACTTGTCTGAGAAGATGCCTTGAAGATGCCCGAGTCAAATGGGATTTCTAGTTTTGATTGATGAGGAATCTCCTTACTGATTTTCACAATGGTTGGAGGATGGATAATATGAAATAGGAAGATAGATTTGCTCAAGGGAATCTATCGCCAAGAGTGATAAACAGGAGTAAGGGAAGGGAACGGGGCGAGGAAAGAATGAAGATGTGCCACATACAGCAGCAATTCTAAGAGAAGTGGGCTCGTCGAGATGAGCCAGGTGCAAGCGGCAGCTCCGTGAGAGGACACAATGACCACGCCTGCACCAGGCGCTCACTCCAAAGCGCAAGTACGCCTCCAGGGGGAACACAGCCTGTGTCAAGAGGCTGGAGTTGGCCATGAGAGGTGGGCCTGGTACAATGCAGGAGACTGAATGTGCAGGAATGGGGCCAGGTCGTGCATTCTGACTGCTCAGAGGGGGAGAGGTAGATGTCCAGGTCCACACCAGAGAGAAAGAAAGAGAGTTTCTTCTGTCTGCTTTTTGTTGTATCCCCTTCAACGAAGAGAGACTTTTTTCGTCCACTACTTTGACCAAGAGAGAGAGAGAGAGAGAGAGAGAGAGAGAGAGAGAGAGAGAAGGGAGAGAGGACGGAGAGGAGAGAGAAAAGAGGGAGAGAGGGGGAGGGAGAGGAGAGAGAGAGATTAGGGAGAGGAGAGAGAGAGGAGAGGAAGAGGAAGAGCAGGGAGAGGAGAGAGGAGAGGGAAAGGACAGAGGAGAGAGGAGAGAGGGAGAGAAGAGAGGGGGAGGGAGAGGAGAGAGAGAGATTAGGGAGAGGAGAAAGAGAGGAGAGGAAGAGGAAGAGCAGGGAGAGGAGAGAGGAGAGGGAAAGGAGAGAGGAGAGAGGAGAGAGGAGAGGGAGAGGAGAGGAGAGAGAGACAGAGACAGAGAGAGAGAGAGGGGAGAGAGAGAGAAAGAGAGAGAGAGAGAGAGACTTTAAGTGCTACTGTGGTATCCCTTAATCCAGCCAAATCAATGCAGTGAAATTCACTACTATAAGTAGCAGTCACATGGCCCCTTGGAAGATGGACCACAGGCGTTTGTATTTGTCATGATGAGACAACTGGTTCCTTTCTCCTAAGTATAGGTTATTTGAACCTGGCTTATACTTATTTTCACTGACATCTATTAGAAAAAGAAAAAATTTTATGTAATGAGAGCAAACATCAATATCCAGAAAGACTGTTTTGGCAAGCACACCCCAGATACCCCAGTCATGGTCACCCAGGTGTTTACTTCTGGACAAGAACTTATTTTGTTGTGTGGAAAGAGTTTTCACAGGTGAGAATATCACTTTAAGAATATAATTTCAACATGTGCATTACAATGTCACTAAGTTTTCAGAGAACATCTAAAAGCAATAAATAAAAAAGTGGGCATCTCACAAAGTTAAAATTTAAAGCCTACACCTTATTTTGTCTCTGACAAGTGAATGAATGATTGACCTTTAAGAATGCGCTCTTGACCTCCTTGTTCCTCAGGCTGTAGACCACGGGGTTCAGCATGGGGATGACCATGGTGTAGAACACGGATGCGATCTTGTCCGTGTCCATGGAGTGGCTGGAGCTGGGCTGCAGGTACATGAAGATGGCAGCCCCGTAGAAGATGGACACGGCGGTGAGGTGGGAGGCGCAGGTGGACAAGGCCTTCTGATGTCCTGCCCCTGAGCGCATCTTCAGGATGGAGACAAAAATGAAGAAGTAAGATATCCAGATAACTAGGAGGGCAAAGAAAACAGGGATGCTGACGGCGTAAAAAAGAACCTGTTCATTAAGATGCTTATCAGAACAAGACAGAGCCATGACTGCTGGAATATCACAGAAAAAGTGGTGGACCACGTTGGAGTTGCAGAAGGAGAGACTGAAGGTTTCCCCAGTGTGGACGCAGGCATTCAATAAGCCACCAACATAGCAGCCTATGACAAGCCCCCCACACACACTGGCCCGCATGGTGGTGGTGTAGTGCAGGGGCCTGCACACTGCTGCGTAGCGGTCATAGGCCATGGCAGTCAGCAGGTAATTTTCCACACCAATGAGGGCTGCAAACAGGAACATCTGAGCAGCACAGGCACTGTAGGAAATGACCTTGTCTCCCGTAAGCAACCCAACAATGACCGTGGGAGTGACAACCGAGGAGGAGCAGAAGTCCACCAGCGCCAGGTTCCCAAGGAAGAAGTACATGGGGCTGTGCAGACGCGGGTCCAGGAGGATCAGCAGGACCATGCCCAGGTTCCCAAGCACAGTGATGGCGTAGATGAGCAGGAAGGTGAGGAAGAGGGGCAGCCGCAGGTGGGGGTCGTCGGTCAGGCCCAGCAGGAGGAAGGCTGCCACCTCTGTGCTGTTCTCTATTGCTGGCATCTTTAGCTTCACTATAGCAATGAGAAAGAATATAGAGAAGTTGAATTAGAATAGGAAACATAAGTATAATAACTTTTCTATCATTGTGACAACTTTACTTGAATAGTTCCCACACAGCCTTATTCTTGTGAACCCCACTGATTCACACTCATTTCAGGTAGAATTATCCACTGTCTAATTAGAAGAATTTTAATGGATCTTGTGGATCATTTGTAAATATGTAAATATAAACTGAGATGCATGCAACTTAATTACTTACAGAGAGCTATACAGTGCTACATATCAGACCAGGCACTTCTTTGGGCTATAATGAAACTGCCTTCCACCTTGCTTACCCAGGGAGAACGGCCCCCCACAGGACAGGCATGTGTTCCTGTCTCCTGTCAGCAGTACGGTGAGCTTGCTTGTCCGTCACACTCATGTGAAGCTGTGGGTGGCTGCAGGCTGGGGATGCCCTCCTATTGTCACACGTGCTCAAGGCAATCTCTGCTCTGCACCCAGGTGGAAGCTTAGCCCCTGCTGGGTGGCTCCTGATCTAAGGGCGGTAAGTGAGATCCAAACAAAGAGACTCACTCCTTGCCCTGAGCTCAGTGCCTACTTGACTCCGTGATAATTTCCCCCTCTTAGGTGCACATTTGCCTTTCCTTGGAGGTAAAACTAAGAAAATAAATCAATGAAAACCATCCCTCAACAAATGACAAAAAGCACTTTGAAGAGAGAAGAAGCTCCGAATTAAACTGAGAAACTTTCCCCACTGTCTCCCACCTATCAACACTCTGCCCATGTCACAGATGTGTGGTGAGATGCGGGGGAGTGAGAGCATGCTTACCGGCACAGCCATTCAGAAGTACATCCTAGAAACAGACACTGGGCCGGAGCGTGGGGGTTTTGGAAGGGGCCCTGGTCAGGCCTCCCGCAGCTCCACTGTGCACTGTATTTCCATCTGCAGAGTGAACAGAGTAGCGCTATCAACTCTTATTCATTGGTGTGAAAATGATACAGGACAATAAGTAAAGGAAAAACGTGGGTACTAAGCACATCGTGGTAAAGGCTGGCAACAGCCCTGTGTGCAGGAGAAACGGTCTTCATACTGATTTGATCTGCTTAGGTCCTGGCAGGCAGGTTTCCAGCTGCAGGCGAATTTGAATTCTGGGAGTTTCTCTCCTGTTTGCCTGTCTCCCCCAGCACGAGGTCTCTGTCTCCCTTTGCTCCAAGTATGCAGTTGCTACCCCTGTAATTTCATGAAAGCCTTATTTTTCAGCATGGCTTTCTTGAATTCCATATTTTGGTCATGAAAAAGATCTCACCTTTCTTAAACTTACTCTTTCATTCACTACTATTATTATTTGGAAAAATCACAGAGATTCAAAGTTTGAACTTTTTGCTCTGTGGGTAACCCTTACCTCACAGAGAAGATTTGATAGCAAGCTGCAGATTTTATTTTATTTTATTGATATTCATTGAGTATTTATTAAAAAAGCATCACAATTTTCAACAGTCTACTTGCTTTTAGCATACAAAGTCTACAAAGTCCAAACAAGAACATCAGAAATAAATTCCCACATGAACTATGATGGATGTACTGATAGCACTCTACAAAAATGCTTTATTAGGGGCCAGGAAGATGGCTCAGTGGAATAAGCACTTCCCTGGCAAGCGCAAGGGCCTAAGTTCAATCCCCAGTTCTGCCAAATTAAAAAAACAAAACAAAAGAAAACAAAAAAAAAATGCTTTATTGCAGTTATCACCTCTGAAATAGCCAAGTTGCAGGTTTTAAATATTTTGTTTGAATCTGATCTTGTGTAGGGGTAGCATTTATAATTTCTTTTTTCAATTGTAGCTTTTGGAATTACATATATCCACAAATAACTGTTATTTCCTGCTACTTTTTTCCTCCTAAAACTTTAGTAACTTTATTCAGAGGTCAAATCCATGAAGGTACCGTACACACAAATCTGCACACACTTCTTTTTAGTCTAAAATTATTTTAAAACTTTTTGTTAGTACATGTGTTCGTTGCACACAGCTTACAGGCATCTTGGGTGGTGGACACGAGACAGCCCGGTCCTCTTTTGTAAAAAAATCTCCATTCTCTTCCCTCTCACCTCCTTGCCCCCACTCTAAATTCCCTTTCCATATTTTCAGAATAACCTCAATAAATGTAAACATTATACATCATAAGCAAGAGGTAAGATTAATGATGTCAATACACTGTTACTTGTCACATGTGCTATGTTCTACAACTAAGGATAAGCAATTAATATAGTAATAGCATGTGTACATGTAGCGTTCATGCTTTACCCACAAGGAAACTAAAGAATTGAGAATTTGTGCCATGCTCTGGGAAAATCCTAAGCTCCCAGAGTGAAAGCCTTTTTCCAGGAATAAAAAGTTAAGATGATCAGTCGGTTAGACCATTTTGTATTTTAGAGAAGAATCACATTCTGGTATTTATGTTTGTTTGCATTTGGAAATATATAGTGAAAAACATAATGCCATTGATCATTCAAAGCATCATCTTTTTAAATATTTTCATTGTGGGGAGGTTAAGAAGTATATTTTGGCCCGGATCACACAAATCTCTATGATAGATATTGTGATATTGTACCACAGTCTCACCTCACCCTTTAAGTGTTTTTGGAAACATCTCTAGTTTTAAACAGCTCATAGTAACTAGAGTTAGGCCCCTGCCTTTGCATAAATTACGTTTGAAACTAAAATATTTATGAAATGTAGAAGCTTACCTGTTTGCTAGAAGAAAAACAGAGCCAATCCAGAGTAGCAACCACAAAGCATACGGACTTCCGTCAGGACTCGCCCCGCTGCTCTCAGGCCGTGGGCCAACTGTCTCCCTTCCCTAAGGCAGGGAGAGGAAAATTGGGACAGCAATGACAGTCACATTCCCATCTGCCCTCTGTGCTTTCCATGCCACTGGAAGAGTCACTTCCTTTCTTTCCTTATATAGAAAATAAGTACGATATGATTCCTTCTCTCCCATAATTCACAGACATGGGTCTGAATAACCCAAGGTCTGTAACTTTTTTTTACAAGGGACTTGAATGAAAGTCCAGCAATAGCACTTTTATCTTTCAGTGTTTTCACTGACCCAGGACACTACCTCACAGAAATCCTTAGAGCAAGAGAAGGCCCCTATGAGTGACAATTACTCTCCATCAGATGGACAAATGATGCCTCGTGGCTCATGGTTTATAATGTGTCCCTTAGAAGGATGTCATTGCATGTCCTGTTGGGAATCCCAGATACTTATACAACAAAATCTAGAGACAATTACACAAACCTTGGCTCTCTGGGGATTTCCCCAGAGAATAGCTACGGCATCTCACTTCACTCTCTCAGGGAGGAAACAAGTGAACTGCCCAATGGGACCAAGATAGTTGATGCATTTTAAAAGCCAGTTGTATTTTAACTGACAGATGAAAATGCAAAACAAACATTTTATACATGAATGAATTATCGTGAGACATGTCTACACATACTCAATCAGTTTTAAAAAGTCTGCTTCCTGAAATTTTTTTTTTTTAATTTCGTTACAATGAAGCCTTTCAAAACCTTCTCATCTTATTTTGGAAGTGTACAGTAAATAATTGTTTTATATAATCCATTTAAAACCACTGTAGCTGGGCCCTAGCCTCTCAACTGTATAATGGGCTGCCCTGCAGCTTGTGAACCCACCCCTCCTCTTTCTACCCTGGGTGTGACACTGATTTTTCTCCTGTGGGTCACACCTATGTTCACTGATGCGCTCTCCACAGATGTGCACTCCCCAAACACATGAATGTCCCTGGCTCCAGACGGGGCCTTACCTCTCTCTGGAAGGCCCACACCCTCCGCCCCTTGAGTGTGTGCTTACATCGTGCCTGGTCAGCTCCCCTATTCCCCTCACAAGATGGTGTCTGTAGATCTCCGACTGTGCACAGCCTTCCAGAGCCGCCTGCTCCTGTCTAACAAGGATTTAGTGATGGAGGCTCAACATGCCTCCCACCTTCCTTCCTTCTCATCTCAGGTGAGCACTGTGCAGCTCCCTTCTTTTGACACCAATGTCTTGGGCTCCACAGATGAGTGAGATAGTTCAGCACTTCCCTTTCTGCCCTGGCTCAGTCACTTCACATTCTGACTTCCTGTCGATCTCTGCGGTCCCCAGGACAGGATGGTATTCTTTTTATGACTGAATAGTGTTGGGCGCTGTACAGTTTCTATGACTGCCTTTGTCCACTCATCAGCTGGTGGTCTCTTAGGCAAGGGACAGGGAGCCTCACTGGCCTCTGGCTTCGTGTCTTGTGCATTTACATGAGAAGTCAGCGAGGGCTGACTCAATAGCTCAGCAGATTAAAGAGCCTGTGGGCAGGCTCAGGGGCCTGGGATTCAGTTCCAGGGCCTACTGTGCTGGCCTCGCCCCCTGGGCACACTGAGACAGCAAGTAAGCCTGGGCGTGGAGGCGCTCGCCTGTAATCCCAGCTCTTGGGAGGCTGTAAACAGGTGGATCACTATGGGTCCAGATTAGTAGTGAGACCCTGAACACCCTGTAGACACTTCCCTAAAATAAATAAATAAATAAATAAATAAATAAATAAAATTAAAAACCCCAAAAATACACAAGACATATGACAGCTGGATCTTGTTGCCATTCTGTTCTTCACTTGGGAAAAACAGCCATGCAGACCCTGCAGGACTGTGCTGATTTCTGTTTCCACCAATGCAGACAGGGCTTCCCCTTCCTCTCCATGCTTGCTAGGCCTCTTTAACTTTGATAAACACCATTCTCATTGCAGTGAGGCGATGTCTGCGTGTTGTTTGAGATGCCTTTCCTGGTGGTTGCGGAGGCTGAGCACGTCCCACGTACCAGCTGCTCTTTGCACGTCTTCTTTCCGCTAATGACTGAATATCTCATTGCTCATTTTTAATCGAGTTGTTCTCTACATGGAAATTTAGAAGCATTGCATCTAAGCGCGTAACTTGGCATGTGTACCCACTGCTCAAGC